TTTTAAATTTACTTGGCTATTTTGGCCATGCAGCTTTGCAGCTTGCAGTGTAATGAATATTGCCAAATAACTGTTGTCTCTAAACAATCCTCTCTATCGTATTAATCGAATTTTGTTCGCATCTTGATCGGCGGCATCCGGTAGAGGATAATCTGGCGGAATGCTCTCGTTGAAACTTTCAAGCGTTAAACGATCGATCTTCTATCATGTATGAACGATATAGGTATAGCCTCGCATAAACCTCTCGAGTAATCATACGTGGAATACCGCGATTGTTCCGTGTCAACAACGTGCCCGGCTTTGACAGGTCTCGGTATATCGTTCTCGCCCCCGTCTTGCGACTCCTATAGTTCACCAGATGTTTTCCACCGGATTTTCTGTAACGTGCTCTATTGGAATCGACTATTATTGGAATCTTTTATTTTTCTACGAGCCTATTTTAAGTCGTGCATAAATGTGAAAATTTTAATTTTTTATAAAAAACGCCGTCATAAAATAAATCGTTTTACGATAATCGTTTATTATGTACTGTATTGAAATAATTTTATTGTTTTCTAAAAGTTTTATAAAGTGTACCGTAATGTTTTTTTTGGTAAAATTTTTCGTGGAAGAAAATAATAATATTTATGTAGATATATGTAAAAATTTTATATTTAAAAAGTTGTTTATTAAAAAAATCATATTAATAAAATGTATCTAAATTTACAGAGTGTAAAGTTAGAAAAATATTTTAAACTTATAAAATATTTTAAATTTTGAATATTAATAAATAATCAAAGTGTACATATTTGCCTTAATCGTTATTTGTAAAATAGATTTTTGAACGATTAAAAAATGCATGCATGTAAATCTTTTGCTTGTGTCAATCTGGCTCATATGTAGCAGACTAGAGTTATGCAAGAGCTACTTCAAGAAGAGCATACAGCAAGATTAATTTTTGCTTATTATAGATGCGGCATTTGTTGTAAACAGATCTGAAATACTCAGACAATCTAATATATTCCAGTTAGAGAATAAAGCTATAATCTAAAGTCCCGCCATTCTCGCAGATGATATTACATCGAACTGATCGCATAACGCAACTCAAAACAAACTCTGCAGCGCTTTTGCTCGAGGTATGACGCTCTCGTTGTCCTACATCCGCGGGAGTCATCTCATGAATGCGAAGATTAGTTTGCTATCCTTTATCGTGTACGTGTATACATCGATTCTAGTTGTAATTTCAATGATTTCTTTCATGTAATCTTTCCTCCCACTATCCGCCCGCGCGTTTCTGTTCATCTTCCATATGACGTTATATTAAATATAATTGTAAAATCACTGCAATTTGCAATATATGCGCGATTCGTGATAAAGGTATAAAATTAAATGTTTTATTATAATAAAAATACCTTATGTAGTTTTCTCTCGACAAAGGGCAGTCGCTATTTTACACGAAAAAATTTAAAAGGATATTAAATACTTCAGTTAATTAAATATGAATCATTTATTGTAAATTGTTTTAAATTGTTTTTAACTTCAAATTTAAATTCTTATTATAAGTAGTGATAAGTTAGAAACAAGACTGTAGTCAACTAATTGTAAATAAGAGAGCATCATTTATGGTCAAAGTCAGATGTTAGAATAATACATCTATGTGTATTTAAATAAATTTATCTTAGAGATATATTAGATATTTTCATTGTAAATATAATTGAATCAAGTTAAATGAAATAATTAAAATTTCAAAAATGAATAATTTTGCAAGGAAATATTTCGTGTTGTATTACAATATACCCAAAGCTTATCCAAAATTAAAAGAAGCATTTCTCCACACTTTTTTTTATTAGAACAAGAGATTATATAGCGTCAGTCGAAAGATAAAAAAATTGAAGAAAACATCTGAGATTTCAAATAATATACATAATAACCTTTCTAAATTACAAAATAAAGGGAAATGTATAGGACGAATGAGAGTCAATCGCGGTAATTGGAGAGATTAATTATTTAATATTCTTTTTAATTAGTACAAATTAAAAATTTCGTTTTCCACTAGGCGGAAACACAAGCCGGAAAATAAAGTTGAATTTAATATAGAATTTAATATGAAATAATTAACCGCTTTATAATATGAATCCACCAAACAAGCGCGCGTGAGTTCAAAAGGGAACATAACCACCACGATTATTATTATGGCTAATAACCACATAGATTATCCACAATGCAATCAGCTAAACTGATTTTCCAGATGCATTACTAGATGCATTCTAGATGAGCCCGCAGCAAACATGGTTCACGTAATCTACGTGGGTGCGTGTAAGGGTTAAATGTAATCAGAATTATCATTGGTACGTAATGTAAATGCGTAGATTACATTTTCTGATGAGATAGTACAATTTTTCACAAGATATGAAAAGCGTAATATATAGAATATTCATTTACTTCTTTACTCTTTAAAACTTTTAAAATAAATCTCACTCTCTGAAGAATAAAATCTCACTTTTAAGTATTGAAAATTTTTATTCTTTTTAAAAAATTATGGCTCAATTTTTATTCTTTAGAAAAGGGATGTGCGATCTCGATTTGATTTGTTAAAAGATTGATTTTTTGCTCCCCCTACCCCCAAATTGATTTTTAAATCGGTTCGTCGAGGTCTGATTTTAAAGTAAATCAATTTATTTGATAAGAAGTTGATTTTTGATTTCTTCAATAAGAGTTACATTTATTTTCATCAGAAGACACTACGATTTAGATACATTCCACTGCGTTCCGAAATGTATAGTAATTAGTAATTAAAAATAAATAGTTCACCACGTGTTAACGCTTACTATAAATTTTTATGGTGTTGTATTATTTGTGTCTCGTTTTCTAGACGAACAAAATGTATAAATACTTGTTAAATCCGATTTTATAACACCAGCTGACACTTCGACAGCTATGAAATTGAATTTAATCACGTTTATATACGATATTTTAAGTCAGTAGTTAATAACTACAAGTATTATTAAACCTGGACTTTTAAATTAAAATGAATTTATATTATCATATTTTTTTTACTAAAAAAAAATATTCTTTGATCGAATTGATTGATTTTCAACAGATCGATTAATTAAGTCTCGATTAGTGATTTGAATTTGGTCAACCTGATCTATTAAAAATCGATTAAAAAATCAATTTATTAAAAGAGATCACGTATCTCTATTTTAGAATAAGATTCCACTTAAAAAAATTAGAGAGTATGTATATTTGGCTTAATCGCGCGTATTTATAAATATCACTAAAAGTGTTGATCTAAATTTCGTCAATGAATCCACAAGTTTAATCTTCCATAAACAAAACTGCGGATTTGCAGAGTTTCAGTTTTGCGTTATCATCATGAACTTAGAAAAATAGCAAAATTATTTTTTTTAAACAAAGCGATCGATGTGCTTCGCGAAAATGCGTGAAATTTCGGAGCTATACACTACAAAGAAATCCTATTACCGGGTTTTTTCTTGGAAAATATATCACTGTCCTATAGTATTAAATTTTTGTGTTACACGTGTTTCGTATTTACGTACACAGTGATAAAAAAGCGGAATAATCGATACTATTAGTTGAAAGCAGAATAATTTTTTTTAACTAAAAAAACAAAGCATACACTGCATTGCATACGAGTAATCTTTTGTCTTTATTACAGAGCTTTGAATTTCAGGGTGCATTCGTATTTTTGTGCAATATTCTGCGAACTCTCTTATACATATATAGCAAATTCGATTGGACGTAGTAGTGCGCACTGGTGCACATTAAAGCCATTGTTCACTGATTTCTAATCTAAGTGTTAAAGTAAAACGTAAATATTTCAAATTATAAAATACATATTAATAGCACAATAAAGTTTATTAAGGATTTCACGGTTTAACCCGTTTCTAAATTTAAGTTAAACACACATCTTTACATCAACTTGTTTATATACAATAGATGTATTATACGTATTTTTTTAACAAAATAAAAAAAATATATAAAAATTACAAATTTTTCTATATTATAATTGTAACACAAAAAATCGATTTAGAATCTGAATTAAAAATTATTTTAATAAGAAGTAGATGTGCTGTTTTAAAAAATAATTAAGATAGAATGAAAAAAATTTTAATTAACCTATACAATCGTATTGTTAAATATAAATATTGATCTTATTGAACTGTTTCATATAATTCATATTTCATTCATTTTTATATATGAAAAATATAAATTTTCAATTTCGATTACTTGCAGAAGTCATTCACTATAAAAAAAGGTGCAATTGTGTACCTTTAATAGTGGGTCCCAAAATTACCCACTCCTATAATTGTCATAATATTTTTACACACAATATACACTTGATACATCCTTAACGTGCATCAAAGTGCGCCTAACCAAATTATAGCTGTTATTTATAATGGTGAAATAGCTCCGTTAGCAATTCTGTTTTAATTTCAAACGTAAACAGTATCTGTTCTAATATCTCTATCGAGATTTTTCAAAGCGTGCGCGCTTTGTATAAATAAGGGTAAAAGGGCGTTTGCGCGCACGTTCCAGTTTACAGAGCCAAGCTTTCGCAATTGGCCGTTTACAATTGGCGGTTGTTATCTTGGCAAAAACGTCGCGTTTGCCAGATGATTTTTATACGGCCCAGCGAGAGTCCCCGATTTTATCGTCTCGCCGATATGTAATTAGAACGGCATACAATGGGTACCACGTGCTATTTATCGCAAATACGAATCGAACACTCGGCGTTCCGGGGGCGACCGATGGCGGATGCGTAGCGCCAGCGGAGGACAGAAAAAGAATCGGCGGCGACGATAAATGATAAAAGTGTGTAAAATTAGAAGCAATTATACCCGAAGGCTGTCGCCACGGCTAAAGCTGGCGCTTGGCTTCAGCCTTTATCTGCGTAACCGGCGCCGAAGAGCTGAAATCGCTATCTTTGACGTTTATACCGCGCCACGACTGTCGCGCGATGGTCACTCCTCTCTGCTTGTAAACTTTCGCAGTCGCAATCATCACGACGATAATGACAAGTTCAATACCGGCTCGCACTGGAAACACTACTGGTGAAAGTGTGTAAGGTACGATCGTACAGTATTAGGTTGATTTGTTTGCGAATAATAAACGCATTTCTCGAAAGAAAGATGATTTTCTGCGAATACTTGCGTATCCCGATGAAAAGATATTTATACGCTATTGCGAAATAAAAATTGCAAAACATAACATTACGCAAGAAAGTATAATGACCTCTGAGATATATTATATCCAGTATTTTATTAAAATTCGGATTTAATAAGATAAAATAAAAATTTTATAAAATTAGACTTTATTAAAATTCAAATTTAATAAAATAAAATTAACGAAATATGAAATAATAAGCTTAATAGCTTAATGCTGTAATCGATTTGTTAAAAATAAATATTGTATAGGCATAAGTGGTTTAACGCACTTTTTATTTAATTCGATCATATTTTAAAAAGTGCTTTTGCTCTTCACAAAACTTGCTTAGTGTTAATCAATGATAAAGCGACGGGTTTAATTCGATTTTTCATTTAATGTATAGCTTATCTTTTCGCTGGCGCCGTCGTTGAATCGTTACTATTCGAAGATTGAGTTAGTTAGGTCAATTAGTTAATGATCTGAGAGCATCCTATCGTCCACTGGATACTAGTTAATGACCTAATAATAGTGTAATACACGTGCCGAAGATGCCTATGAATTAGTATCGACATTACCTAGAATTTCACTTCCCATTCCGACCGCGCAATTCTCGCTGAGAATTTCTAAACAAATCATCTTGAACTTGAAAGTAGATCTAATCTTAATAAGTTATAATCTTTTTAATCATTGATTTAACATTTTAATATATATATCAATTTCCTGCTACAAACTTTTCTGAATTTTATTAATTATTTTATTTATTTAATTAATAAATGTAGTATTAATTCAGTTTTATTTGTTAGTAAATTTTTGCTTTACAAAATTAATTTAAATGCGTCAGTAAAAAAAATCTTGAGACTTTACAGATTTAGCTAAAATAATAAATTAAAAAATTTTATTTGGTTAAGTTAAATGAGATATTTTAGAATATATAATTAAAGTATATTTATATATAATTATTTTTTCTATGTAATTTGAATTAATAATTTCTATCTCAGATATATATTTATTCTAAATGTCGAAAGACTAATATGAGAAAACTGCGAGTATTTCTCGCAATCTTCAGAAAAGCAAGGTGTACCTAAAAGTCAACTTTCTTCAATTCAGTTTCAAACGGCTTCATACACTTCTGATAAATCAGCAAAATGCATTTCACGTTTTTGCCAGTAGAATACTTAAATAATACTTAAGAATACTTAAAAAAAGTACCAACGTCATAGTGCAGAACTGACGTAAATTTATCTATTTGTCTCCTACGCCTTTTACAAGACGAGCTGTAAATTCTCTCTTCCATCGCTTACAAGAGAAGTTACTTTGCTCATATTAAAACGGATGATAAAGGTTTATCGCTCGTTGCAAGAAAATGCGTAAAATATCGTCGTCGTATAATCACAAATCAAACCATGGCGTTATATACGTCACGATCATCGTGCTCCAAGCTTTTCCTTATCATTTTACGAGGAGAATCATTCGGCGTCACGGGGGATGAAGTGTACATACATGCGTGTAGTGTTTGCGCGCAATGTCGGTTGTTAACAGATAATCGATACCGAAACGATCATGAGATTTCGAATTGAAGGCACAGCGAGGAAACGACTTCATGACCTTTAATTGCGGTTAGGCTAAATCAATTTCTGTGTTTGTGGGATACAAACGTATCACAAGATTAAGAAATAAGATTCAAGTTTTTTTCAATATCGATATCCTCTGTTTTCTATATTTTATCCTTTTACAAAGGAGAAAATTGCATTCTAAATATAGGAAAAAACTAGAGAATTTATGCTTTTCTGTTTTATGTTTCTTTCGATTTTTATAAAACATTCTGGTATAGTTATAACAAATTAATTTTGTGCCTTCTCAGCATCGCGTCACAATAGGCTCTCTTTGTTCTCCCCATTTGCTTGATCGCATAATAAAGGAAGCGTGCAGCGAAAACACGGCAGAAATGTTGAGTATATTTCAAATTCTCCGTGTTTTCTTCATTTTGCCAAGTCTCTCTCCTGTCAATTTAAAATCTTAAGTGAAAATTTAATCGGATGTCACCTTAGTGATTCCCGAGATAATAAATTTTAAGCAACTAAGCTTGCTTAAAAATTCTATTAAAGTAAAGTTTATCCGAAAGCTATTTAAGTATGTTGTGCACAGTTTCTAGTCTCTTATTATTTACTGATGAGTAGTAGCTCTCATAAGCATATACGAGTATCTCGTATGATCGTTTTATTTTATTTTATATTAATTAGTAAACTTCGATGTAATAAAATGGAAGCAATTTGACGCGATCTGCGTATCAAAGTAATTCGAAACAGCGATTCGATTTATCTTTCCTTCGATTTAAACTCGATCAACATCCTACATGAATTTGTGTTTCCGCCTGATTGACATTTTTTTTCCATAGATGTAGACAAGTAGATATAAACTACATATTTCTTGATCTTATGGTGAATTCGATCACTCGCACTACACTGGATCAGTGCATATTAAAAGCTGCTTTACATAAAATATCTCAATGCAGTGATACAATATAATCAACTTTGACAATGAAATTATACATATATATTTTGTTAAATAACGTGACTATATCATTAGTAGATAGTTAATCGTTTAAAATATTTATATACTTTTACATTTATATACTTTAACTTTGTTAATTTCATGTAAAGCAGCTTTTAGTATGCACTGATCTAGTATAGTGCAAGCGACCGAATTCGCTATTAATTAAATATAGAAACCACCCCGGTCATTAAAACGAGTTATAATTTATATTATGGCTTTATCTCAACCGTGAATATAAATTATAACACTGTACAATAAGTATAAATTATAATTTCGAAATATGAAATGTACAAGGTTATAATTTATATTCATCGTACGGGATTATATTAAAAGATTGGTTGCTGCAGCAAATTAGATGGTTAAATATGGTATAGCATTTTTAATTGGCTGTAGCAATCAATTTTTGGCCACCAATTTTAGCCAATCAAAATCCTATACTGACATTGCGGATAGGCTAACACAATCAACAATTGGCTGTTCCAACCAATTAAAAATGCTATGCCATATTTAACCATCTAATTTGCTGCAGTAGCTAATTTTTTCTTTAGTGGGATTCTATATTTAATTGTGTGTAAGTTACACGAGCTTAAAAAGTGATATTAATTATTAATTTTACTTTGTGATATCTTGATCTTAACTTTAGTACTCTTTTAAATCAGCGGCATACAATGTAATATTTCTTACTGAATTGCTTATGTTTTAGTGAACTACTAGAATTTTATTACACAAAACGCATAATTTTTAGTAATCAATTAAAATGCAAGCAATAAAATAAAGAAACATATGTGTCGCGGACTTTAGAAAGAATTTAACATATTAGCATTTCTCTTTAATTGTATTACTATGTCTCTTCTCTCTTTAATTACTTTCGAGAAAGACAGACAGACAGAGAGAGAGAGAGAGAGGGAGGGGAGGACTATGTAGTATAGAAATATATAGTCTATTTTTATTAGGTCTATGATTCTACATTAGAATTTCTACAGAAAGCTACCAGAGTAAAGTTGCTAGATTTTCTCATAACATCTTGCAATCTATTCTTATTAGGTCTACGATTCTACATTAGAATTTCTACAGAAAGCTACTAGAGTAAAGTTGCTATATTTTCTCATAACATCTTGCAAGCAAATATGAAACGAGAGAAATACCTTGGAATTATTCGCCTTGACTTTTTAGGATTTCTTTCAAGTGAATTCAATGAATATGTGAGCGAAATAAAAGGCTATCCGCGTTGAAATACCGCTGACGATTGATTCATGAATTCATAAAAAAATAAAAGAAAATGTATTATGCGAAGTCATAGGAACACTTAGGACACAAAGCCACGCAATAATATAAAAAAAATTCTCTGATAAATCAATAAATTAAACTGATTCTAAAGTTGCTAAATTTGTCTTTCAGAGATGTTACAGTAAAAATTTAAGATAGACCTAAAATAATATTTATTACTTAAAAATTGTTCCGTAAATGTATTGTATAAAAAATAATAAGAGACTAATATGCGGTTTTGTGCGAGCTAATTTTAAGTAAAATTTTTGCTGTTATTATCGAATAAATATTCGATGCTATACATTTAATATAATACGTTATTTTCTATAATAAAGCATTTTTTATATTTAGATTTATTTTATTTTATGTTTAAATGTATTAGTTTCTCATTATCTTTTAGTTAATGCTTTACAAAACCAATTTATATAATAAATGTTATTTTAATTTTATTATAAATCTTTTACTGAAAAATTTCTAAAAGAAAAATCTAACAATTTTTAAATCATTTTAATTTATTAATTTGACAAAGAATTTTTTCTGCCTTTGAACGCCTTCGTGACTAGTTAAAAAAACGTTTATTTTCATCAAAAGTGCACGCGGTATTTTGTAAAAGGATTGGGAAATGCTTTTATTTCTCACTGTGGATCAAAATATAGTAACAGCGGATTCATCGTGCAACAAGCAACAACCTTTGATTTTTAATTCATCCGTCCGCAAATAATGTTAACGTAAACCACACTTTGTACTAACTCTGTTAATATTTGCGTACCGCTCTTTTCTGAAAAAATGTTGGGATGTAGCTGTGATGAAGCGTGTTTCGAAACCGAATTAACTCTGACAATTAATTAATTACTTCACATTTTGCCGTTTATTTTATTAATATTAAATAAAGTATTTCCTAAGACCATAATTTGAATACACAACAAAGATCCTAAACGGTCAAACTTGGTAGACTGAAGGAAGGAAACTCATTAATTCAGATCTGATATCTCAGATGCAGTGGAAAAAGTTTTTGTTGAAATCTGTCAGGCCGGTTTAAAGACCTTTCCGCGACGATGTGGAAACTTTCTCCTCGGCGCACTGAATTTTCATAAACTCCTCCGCAGACAGTTATATATTCCCTGATAAAAATAAAAATCAGAGCGTATAAGTACGCTCGAATATAATGGGAGAGTAAAAGAAGCGTAAACGCCTCTTTTACGTTCATTATTTCAATTTTCACCTTCTAGAAACTTCGTTTACGCTTTTATTACTCTCCGATTACATTCGACTTACGCTTTGATTTTTATTTTCATCATGGTTTAACGCAGGGATTAGGTACAATAACGACACGTTTATAAATCTTATTTTTGAAACTCAATCAAGAGAAATGCAAAACAAAAATATTTCCGAAATATTAGGAGAAAATTAGAAGAGTTTCCATGGAAATTTCTTATCCTTGTACCAGTCAAACTATATCTTTACGAAAGTGCGCGTCTTTGTGCGACAGAATAAACGGAGATGAGAGAATAGGGAGCGAAATGAGAAATTATTCGATCATCTCAAAGGTGGCAGTTAAATTAAATTTTGGTCACTTGCAATCGCCGTAGTAGTGAACGCATCATTACTCATTAAAGCGATACTCCGGAATTAAAGCGCGGCGACACCACGTGTAGTTAGTAAAGTAATGAATGAACGAACACTCCTTCTCGTGTAAGAGACCACCGACTACTTTTCTGAATGAATCTTTAACGAATGCCAATGAAAACAGGTCGCAGCTGATAATGCAACTGTTTAGTATAGATAATAATAATGATTAAATGAATGATTACAATGTTAAAAATATCACATGCTTTAATATTAAACAGAAACATTGTGTATTGATATTTTAATCAATAGTATTTAAATTTTAACAAACTTTAGGAAGAGAGTTGCTAATAATCTTTTAATATTTAATTATTCTTATTAAAATGGCACAGGTGTGTTACATTAATAATTTTATACACATATTAATTTTTTTATTGCAAGAAATGTTATTTTAACATAATTCTCCTTACACAATATACCTATTTTAAGAAATAGTACCTTTTATTTCTTAAAATTTATATCTTTTTATTTTGATATAATTGCTATACAGAAAAGAATACTTTGTGAACAATTTTTAAGCAAAACGAGAGATAGTTAATATTTAAAAAGACTAGAGTGTTAAATACTGGAAAAGTGTGTAATTTGTCCTATGATACATCTCTTACATTGTACGTTTGAAAGAAGTCAGCAACTTTTAAATACGTCGTCCACATACAAGAACACATGTGAGAACATTAGGTAGCAAATGACACGTCACGCGATTATTGAATAATGCTCCATCGACATTCGAACAAAACCGGCGACATTTGAACAAGACTGCTATTATTTTTTAGAATGTCACACTTTTGAACGACTTCGCCGCCTATTCTTTTTCCCTTGATTTACATTTTAATTCATTCCCTCAACTGAAGCTCGTATTATGTATGTACTTTTATGCAATTAAAGGAAAAAATATACAGGTGTCTTTATTATATAAAACATCTTCTTGCAAATATATTTTGCTAATTTTAAATACATAATGTTAGTAATATTCTTTCTTGATTTCTTCTAAAAACAATTTTAGCGCTTGCGAAATTGATATATTAAAATTTCGTAATATACATAGACGCTCACAGCCTTTATTGCAATGCACTGCAGTAATATATAATGTTCAGGATGACAGTTATATATTATAAACGTTTATTTTAATCTCTTACGAAGATAGAATACATTTCTCAAATGGCGAAGTGACTAGCAGTACCAGAATTTTGCGAGATTCATTTCATGGTGTTGAAATCCTCGTAATACCACGAGATATTGTTTCTTAATCTTCTTTGTTTTTATAGTATTTTCATCATGTTTAAATTAATATTAATTTTGTAATTCTTCAATATCTGTTATTCTTCCTAAATTATTAATACAGTCTAATACAAATTTGACATCTAGCGTAGCATTGCTCATCATCCTTGAGATTCCTATTATTTTGATAGCCTAATTAAATTATTTTCAAATCTGTATCTAGCTAAATTTTTAAATAAATACTTCAGAGCAAAATCGTTCTTTCCGTGCGGAATTCCGCTTGTATTTGTTAATACTGACGGTATTATTGACCGTGTAGGGTCCTTCTTTATGACCAATTAGCCATCTAACGCTAATGCCTACGTCGAAAGTTATGTCGTCAGTAAGTAAAATCTCTCGCTCCCCTGTGGAGGAGCCGAAACATTGCTTTCGTGTTTCGAAATTAAACATTGTCGTTCCATAAATAGCGTATCCAATATCAAAATCCCGAAAGTTCAGACCTCACGTAAATTGCAAATATTTACAAACGTCCGTAAATTTAAATAAATACAAAATTTTAAAATCGATGATGTGGCCGTATCGAATTTTAAAGTTAAGGATTTTCAAGTTTCGAATTACTGTTCACGAGAGCAGAATTTCAGTGACTTATGAAAATGAATTACTCGATGAGCTTTTTCATTAAGACAATGTTATGTTGCCTCAAGGAAAAGTGATGTTCCATCCGAGATTATATTCTCTCAACATACATATGATATGTCAGACACAGTTGAGCTATATGTATGTATTAGGTATCAATGTAAACTAATTATTTCGTCTCGCCCATGTTTACTGATACTATTATATTTCATCGGGGAAGATTGAAGAGTGCCGAAAAAAAAGGATTAAATCTCTTCCTCTCTATTTCCTTTATGTTTGATGAACAAACTAGAAAAAATAATATGCAGACCATTGACGAGATTGATGTGTAGTTTAGGCTCGATTTACACGATGTTTTTTTACAAACTAATATATTAGCGAACTAGAAAACTATAACAGCTAAAAAAATGTAATAAATCTATAAATTATATTTTTTTAACAAAATTAGCAGCTAAAAAATATAATTTTGGAATTATATTTTTTAATATACGAGGACAAATCAATAAGTACTCATGTTAATAATGAAGAAGCAAGCTTTTCACAAAATTTTTTTTATTTTTCAACGTAATCCCTTTTTAGGAGGATACATTTTTCCCAACGCTTCTGCCATTTTTTTAACCCCTCAGAAAAATACGATTTATCGAACTCTGTAAAATAGGCCTCTGTTTGATCTCTACCTGTTTGGTCTCCGGTGTGTATAGTAATAAATCCATAGGCCTGTTTCATCTTTCTTCCTCTTCTTACCTCTTGAAGAGAAAAGGAAGAAAGATGAACTGGTGCAAAAGTTCAGCCAAAAAGAACAGTCTTCATGTTTCATCAACGGTTACGACTCGACACAAAAACTCGTTCGGATTGCGCTTGAACAGCTCCAAACACTGCTTTGAAATTGATAACCGCATCCGCTTGTTGTCCACCGTAAGCAATCGCGGCACCCATCGGGCCGACAGCTTTTTCATTCTCAAGTTATCATGCAAAATATTAAATGCCGTTCCGTACGACACGCCTACGGCCTCTGTTACTTCATACACTTTCGTTCGGCGATCAGCGAGAATCATGTCGTGGACTTTTTCAACGATTTCTTCAGTAACCACGTCTGCCGGGTGGCCTGGGCGCTCCTCATAAGAAACAGACAAACGACCACGTTTGAATTCGTTGAACCAATATCTGACGGTTGTCATAGATGGCGAAGAGTTCCCATAGACGGCATCCAACGTTTTTATTTCTTCGCACGTCTTTCCATCCAAAAATAAGAAACAAATCACGGATCGATATTGCTCTTTTTTCATTGTATCGGAAAACATCAAACACGCGCTCACTATGAATTGCTGTCAATTCATATTGCATGAATCACTCTGAAATTTTGTATGGCGTCGTTTGAAAGATGGTAATGCCAACTTGCATCAGCAACGCCGCCTGTCTTGAAACACTTATTGATTTGCCCTCGTAATTTATAAAATTATATTTTTTTAGTTAATAGTTTGCCTGCAGATTAGCATACTAGTTAGTACTTAAATAAAAAAGTATTGTATGAATCAGACTTTATCGAGATAAGATTGAGAGAGTATGCCCAGATGATTCAAAGTAAAGATGAGATATGTTATAACTCTATGTAAATTGTGTTATGTTAAATGATTCATTACTATATATTCATCGCTCATCATGAGATTCATATATTGCAATTTTAGTATGATAATTCAAATAACTCTAAAGATATTTTATGGTTTTCGCTTTTAGCAAAAATTTGTCAAATATCTAAATAAATTTTTAATTTGTTACTTGAATTATTTAATATATGCTTTAAATTACTTTTTCTTAATATTTAAATTTGTCTAGGAAATGTAATCGTAAGAATCGTAATCGTGGAATTATATATCTTAATTCTAGTGACATACATCGTTTGTATAAAGGATATGATCAGATATCAACAGGCGCCAGGTTAAATTCTACCAAATTAAAAACAGTAAAACCCAAGTGATACTACCTTTTTATTATTTACTTAACTCTAATGATATGTATCATGTGTATAAAAGATTTTATATTTGATATCAACAACAGGCGTCAAGTTAAATTACTACATTTATTATTTATTTACTTAACTCTAATGATATTTATTATTTATATAAAAGATTTGACATCAACAACTGGCGCCAAATTATATGTTTACTTCTTCATTTATTGTTTATTTCTTTTTCATAATACAGTTTACTGTTTACTCCTATTTCATAATGTATGTCTTACAAATTAAAATTTATTTAATATTTTAAACTTACACCTAATAGCTTTCACTTTCACAACTCACTCGTACATACAGTGAGAGCAAAAAGTATTCGTACAAGAAAATTTTTTATAAAAAAAAAGTCTTATTTGTAGAAAATAAACATTAATTGGCAATTTTATACAATGAATACATTCTGTTCTTACATTAACAAACGGGCTTCGCAAATATTCTTAATTTTAGAAGCTAAATTTCTCGATTGTACGAATACTTTTTGAGCATCCAAACAATACAATTTTCGCTTATTTTTCAAATGATATATTTTTTATAATTAATACACATTTTTAGTATATATAATTTTAAGAAACATATACAGTCTATTTTATTCTTTATGAATAAATTGTTACTTACACAGCAAGAAATGATCGTCAATTAAACATCGAATCGACATCAAATTGGTATTGAAATCATCATATCGATATTGATTCAACATCAATTTGATGACTCATTTCTCGCTGGATAATATTTACTTTATAAAAATAAAATTTAAAAAAAAAATATTTTCTCTGTATAAATACTTTTTGTACTCACTGTATATGCGCATATACATATGTACACGTTGGATATTTTTACTCTCGTAAAAATGTTTCTTATTTTTCTTATGCTAATTGTCACATCTATGTTTTTACAATTATGTTATTATATCGAGATCTAGCAGTGCCAAGTGTTTTGTATATAAAAAATTTTTCCATTTAAATTAATATTTTCATTTTGTATTGTTATTTCTTTAATTCTTTGTGGTAACACCTGAATTGAGTAAGGTAATGCAATTTTGCGATATATCTAATAGTATTTTGAAAAGGAATTAAATAACTAATTACTACTACTTTGGTTGGAAGAAAGAATGTCTTTGAATGGATTATAATATAATATAATAATTATTTTTAAGAAAAAAATTAAACCACTTGAATAGGAATAGGAATTAAGATCCTTCAATAGAAATACAAAGATTTACATTAGATTTCATTGTACATATATAAAAATTAAAGATAGTACCACTTAAATTTTTAAAGATAGCATCACTTGGGTTTTATTTATTTTTTAATTTGGTAGAATTTAACTTCATAAAAATTTATAGGATTCAATTTTGCGTCATTGCGCTGATATCAAATCTTTTATATAAATTACACATAAAATTTTGTGGAATTTAACTTAGTGCCAATCGTTGGCGTCAAATCTTTTATACAAATAGATATCATTGGAGTTAAGTAAATAAATGTAGTAATTTAACTCGACGCCTGTTGTTGACATCAACTATCAAATCTTTTATACACATGATACATATCATGAGGTTAAGTAAATAAATAATACAGATAGTACCACTTGGGTTTTATTTTTTAATTTAGTAGAATTTAATCTGGCGCCTGTTGTTGATATCAAATTTTTTATACAAGTGATACGTGTCATTAGAATTAAGTAAATAATAAGAATACCACTTATGTTTTGGGAGAGGGGGGGGGGAGAGGAAATTAAAAGGAGTTGAAATAGGAAGACTTCCAATAAAAATACAAAAAAGTATATTGTATTACTTAGTAAAGATAGTACCACTTTGATTGTATTTTTTAATTTGGACACCAGTTTTTTTTCAATACGTATCATCTAGGTTTTACCGTAAAATCGTGGAAAGAATAACTTTTGAAACGACACGTTCATATGTCGGATCATAAAATTACTCGTTCTACTTTTTACTGCTGATGACGTTCGTTTCATTGAACGTGCAATAATAGCAAGAAAAATTCGATGTATCCAAAATACGTTATGATATGCAATATTTCTGTGAAAAATAAAAGATAATAAGTCCTGTAATAATATAATCGATAAGCGTGACTTCGTTGAAAAGCCAAGAATACGAATCACAATGGAAGTTTTATAAGTGAAAAATTAAATATTCTTCGCAAAACATAAAAAGGAAAAAATCGGCCATTTGATTGAAAACAATAATATCAAATTTACAAATATTTGTTTGTCTGTTACAAATATCTATTATTAAATTTAAATTATAGAAATATCTAAATTCGCGCTCCCGTATAAATTGTTTACATCTAAAAATTCGAAGAAAAATTACATAAATATACACAAATATACAAAAATTATACCTAAATCTACAATCTACATAAGTGCAATTACTCCTACTTTCTCAATTTTTTTCTGATTTCTATAGCATAAGTTGCACGGCGTGGATACTGGAATTATCCTATAGTTTATATAAATTGATCGGGCTGTGGAATATGTAGTATGTTAATGATGTAATTAATTTTAGGAGAATCGGAAATGCATCGTTCTTTTTTTATAATAGATGGCCGATGTTTTCGAATATCTGTGTTATTACACGAATTTCTATACAAAATAGATTTTCTATTATTGCTGTTTCTCTCTTGCTTTATTTGCCTTTTAACAAATAAATTGAGGATGTAGAATGACTTGTTTGCGTAGATTTTTATAGCATTAATTCATACATATTATTTATTAGGCCTATGTGCGTTTGAAAGTACTTAAAAATCTGCATTCTATACTCGCACTTGAAACATATTTTCAACAATCCGATAACAAGTTATAAATAAAAGTTAAGTTGAGTCCGATAACTAAGTTATTCATGGCAATTTGTTTTTTATATCCACTTTATATTTAAGAAAAATACACTGAAAAAAATTTATCAAATCTTAATACATATTTTTTCCTTACAGTAAATAAACGTTTACTTAAAACTTTCAAACAAATATTTATTAAAATTGAATATATTTTTCAATGTAATGTACAAAATACAAAATCGCACGTTCACTTGTTCAATATCTTGCTAGTATAGACTAAGAGTTAATAAAGCAAGAAGAAAGGATTTATGAACTTTATATAAGTACGTAAAGAAGTAAGTTTACGATCAACGATCAAATTGAAAGAAGTTAGAGGAACTAAGAAAACAGGCCAGAATAAATAAGACTTTACATGTAGAAATATTCTTTCGCTCTCACTAATTTTCGGAACAAAAGTGTTACTGTTATAAATAAATAGCAGCCAATATATATATATATATGTACAGAATAAATACATATCAATTTTCGGTCATTTTACATATATATTTCTCATCAATGTCTCTATAATATTAAATTGTACATTAATTTAATAATGCGATATAACATTTCCAGTTTTGACATAAGATCATTACATTTCAAAATTAAATGATAATTGACATATAATAGACAAATGTATATACGTCATTAATTATTATTATTATTATTAACATAGATCTTCATTGAACCCTTCATTCACGTGGGGTGTTTGGGACTCCCGCCTTATGAATTTGCTAAATGCGAATGCTATTTATACACATTACACATTATAAATTTAGTTCAAATTGTTTCACAATTAAATTTGCATTTATCTTTATCTATAAAAGATGTATAGAATATATAAAACTTTATTTAACTATCATCAATAAGAATAATTACGTTAAATAAACTGAATGAATAAGAATAAAGAACAAATAAAAATGAATAAGAACAAATAAATTTAGACTATAATACATATGTGTTTGGAATTTAAATGTTAAAACTTCGGGAGAATGTAGGGAATCGATAAACTAAGAAAAAGTCTATAGAGATATTGCTCGCGCGTTTTTGCTTCGTTTTGTAAAAAATTACAAAAAAGACAAAACGTACAGTTTTTATTTTTGTACTTTCTCATTACTTATTCACGTTGTATTTACTCACTTGCTTAATGTAGATATTGTTTAAAATGTTGATCTTTTGCAGCAATGTAAGCATTGCATCTAGTACGAACAGCTCGTGTTGCAGTCAAATATTGATGATTGGTGCACCGTAGCCTTGATTTGATTTCTCGATTGTTCTCTTGAGTTGATTGACGAATCTTCAGTTTTTTAATCATTTATCGATTCTCTTGAGTTGATTTATTGTTTTCGTGCACAATTTCAGCAACGATAATACTTCAAAGGCTGTGCAAGAACGAAGCAACTACGTTTTATCTTTTTTGCGATTTTCTCCAAAACGAAGCAAAAATGAGCATATCTCTACATGACTTTTTTTCTTAATATATCGATCTTCTACACGCTCCTGAAATTTTGACATTTAAATTCCAAACACCCTGTATATAACTTGTAAAGGAGAAACTCCATTCTCATAACAGAATTATCGTTCAATTTAATTTGAAGATATACGGAGATTCTACTCAAAATTACCGAATAGCGTCCTGTAGCGTATCACGAATTATAAACAGCCTTCGGTATAAGTTCTGGGCATCTTATGGAGAGAGCCAGGATAACGTTCGAAATTAATAGAAACTAAATTTCGAGTTGAGTACTTGAGGAAAAACGAATAAAGAATTCGAAATATCGAGTGCAAATCTATATTGACTAAATGATATGTTATTGCAGGCACGTTCATTCACTTAATCAGTGGACATTTACATAAATTACAAGCTGGTGGATACTGTCATGCAGATAATGAGGACGTAATTTGATTCACATTTGTACATCAAATTATCGCGATAACTCTACTACGTTCGTACAATCTCTTCGATTTTGCAGCGTCATTTGCATATCGGAAAACAACCCGAGAAATATCGCGGTTCATTACAATGCTTTGCAAAATCAAATTTCAACGATCATTGTATCGAAGTAAAGATTGTGCGTTATGCGAATGCAATCGGATTTGCTAATTCGTTATCGTGTGGTCTGATTTGATAAGGCTTCTTCTACTGAAATATCTCAAAACAGTTGCACACATTAGGTGGAGCTAATCAGAGTAATTATGGTGAAAGGAATCTGACAACACTGATTTTTTCTTAAATATTCTTATTAATTAAATAATTGAAAATTATTATTAAGTGCATTTATCATTGGAATATGTTTCAGTATTAATATTCATTAATATAATTATAAAGTTTGTTGGAAATTTGAATGTATAAGATATCTCGAGGTCGCAATCAATATTTATTAATTAGTATTTTGTACATTGATATTCTAATCAATCATCACTTGCATATTGATTAAATAATTATGTATTATGCGTTTGCATTATGCATTAAAAATTCTTAAAATAACGAATTATAATTGTTACATAATGGATAAAAAAATGTCATCATTTGGTATTCTACGTAACACTGTTTAACATTTAGCTTAAATTATAATACGAAATATTTCTTCTTTTCAGATTGTATAATTAAATTGTATTGTCTGCGAAAAAACAAAGATGTATTTCTTAATCTAGATATTTTGATATTTCTATACTGTAAAAATTGTTATTATTATTCACATAAAAAAAAAGAAATCGGCATTTTTTGTTTGATTTATTCTTTTTTAAATTGTATATTACAAAATCTTTAATGTATGTACAATACAAGAAACAGTTATGATTGTATACATAAATTTCAATTATTATTTTTCAGTTTCACAATTTTTTTATTTTCTAAAAAAGATTATCTTGCCTTTCCAAATTTATTCTTTTTTGTAAATTTAAAATCAATATTTTCTTAATATAAAGAAAAGGAAGTATAAAATTTTAAGAAGAACAATCCTCAATAATCCCCAATTAAAAAAAAAAAATCGAGGATGATCAAATGTAATGGGTTTATTCTGTCAATCCCATTTGTAGATTCCATTTGTAGGTCTCTTTTAACCTTCACGTTGTCTACTAATTGTCCAAGTTGCCTAATGAACAGTTATACAGCTTGTACTTGTCGAACAGTACTTTGATAACGAGACACCTAATCCTCTTTGACCACTAGACCAATTTCTGTCTAGACAGTAATTAAAAATCCACGTGACGAATCTTGGACACTAGTACAATACTAAAAAGAAAAGTCAGTAATAGAGGGACGGGATTGAAACCACGACGTGGAATCAAGTCGCCAGTCGACTCGCAGCATGTAATTGAAAAGCAGTACGGCAGCCCTAAATTACGAGCGGTAAATTAAACCCCTTGGTGTTAATGGACCTGGGCGATGACGACAACGACGACAATCATGACAACGTCTACGTCTCACAGAAACATTTATTATTTTGTACATGCTAACGTCAATTTGTTTAATAAAAATAGTTAATAATAAATGAATTTCAAATATATGTAATTGTTAAGAATACATTTTGAAAACTATTGTCATCTCGAAAACTTAGAAAAAGGAAAAGATTACATAAAAATATAAAATAAAAAATTAACCAAAATAATATTTCTTTTGTATAATATTTTAAATTTACATAATAAAAATGTAGTTTATCTATACATATCTAAAAAATATATAAATACTTTTCAACTATAAAATGCCCTGCCCTAAGAAAGATATCAAAATCTTACGTCACGGCCAAGAAAATAAATTTCTTCTTTACTTTTGTCTTTTTTCTATTTTTTTAATATTAAATAAATGTTGTTTATTGGCACAAAAGGTAGAGATTTAAAAAATTTAAACTATAGACGCGTCAATACTACTTGACAATATTTATACTTCGTAAGAAAAGTCTGCGTATTAGAATTGTAATTTAGCAAGGCGATAGTTTCCTTGGGGATGCGTGCTTTAATGCAAATCGAGGAATAGAGAGAGACTTATTGTTAAACTAAATGACTAGATGTTGACGGTAAGCAATTCGTGCGCAAAGTAGTTCTTCTCACCTGCCGTCGCTATAGCTGGAATTTATAACTTCTTGTGAATCATCACATGAGGGAAGGCAGAAGACAAAAGCCAATAAAAGAATTTGCTCTTGAATCGGGTAGACTCCAGAGAATAAAAAAAAGTTTTGCAAAAGACAAATTTGCCTGCACAATTTTCTTTTCTTCCTGATTTCATTACATGGCTTATAAATCGCTCTTATCATCTTCGATTAACAATAAAGTTAATCAGCCGAATAAATTTTAAAATTATCAACAGCAAACCTGAAAGCTAATCATCTTTATCTTAATTATTTTGTAATTAAACATATCACTTAATTATTAATTAAACGTATTAATATTTTACATAAATAAGTTTTAATGTGTAAAAAATAATCAAGAAAAAACAAAATAATATGATATAAAGTTTTAAGCATTGCAGCTGGCAATTCTTATAATTAAGTTCCACCAATGTAAAATTAACTTTAATCTCGGTTCAATTTACTCTTTATCTTTTTCTAATTTTAAGAATTAGAGAAAAATAAATAACCGATCAAATTAACCGGAGATGATGAAACTTTATGTTTAAAATCAATTTGTCCATCTGTACCAAACTTTTTCTTTAAAGTCTTATCTCGACGTCAATGCGACGCAAAAACTCGAGATAAAAGTCTATCACGACGCGAAAAAATGTGCAGCCTAAATATAAGTCATTATGCAATTTCATTCGAGAAACGAATGTTCTGAACTTGTTATGAAAATAAGGAAAGTAGTAATATTTAAGCATTTCTTTCGACAAAAATCCGATTTACTGTTGGTAATAAACACTACCGATTTGTTATCACCTGCAAGCGTTTCGATGATGTGTTTCAGATGAACGTTAGTAATTTACGTTCTTCCTGCACGATGATACTGCTTGGTATCTTGGTGTCGACGACGATAATCGGACTCACAAGTTCCGCTCCTCTGTCGTCGTACGAAAGAAGGGACGTGTCAGACGAGCATCCCAAATTTTTCCTGTTGATCGATCAAAGAATACCAGAATTGGAGGTACGTTCTCTCTCGAATAAAATAATACGGCAAATATATGTATACAGAAATATTGTGAAACCAAAATATAAAACAATATCTAAAAATAACTTTAATCTTACGACGAGAATGATATCTCTTCCATTCTTCTCTCTTATTTTATACTACACAGCAAATTGTGATCGAAGTATCAAAATAACAATTTAGAAACATAAACATCCTAAAATAATAAAATATATACACGAATAAAAAAAATACTTTTTAAAATTATTTTTTTTTTATTTAGATTAAATGCTAGGAATTTTACAATTAATAAAGGCAATAAGTCTTTCAAATTATTCGTCGTGCTTTCATTCAGAACATGATAAAAACAATTAATGCTTTATGTCCACATCATATTCATTAATTCATTTTTCTTCTATAAGTGAAAGAAAAAAAGATACGTCGCGATAAGAGAGCATTATTAATAATCTGTCGATAAGTTCTAAGCACATGAGACGCCGCGCCGCGCGGAAATCGCGTTCGTCGCTTAACAGAATGACGTATTCCAAATATACAAATACCATTGTGTCAGACAACAAACGTCGACACGTGTCTCATCGGATCGCTTAGTTTACGAGTGCTTTGCATTTTGAATTGTTAAGCGTGTATTACGATCGACCGGTATCCGCGCAGATGACGCACACTTACGCGCGATGGAATGCAACGAGATGCAACGGGATGCTGGCGAATGAGAGACAATCGTCGCGGTTTGGTATCGGAAGAGGATGGAAAATGACGTAAACGTACATTACGCGAGTGAATCGGGAGCTCGTCATGAATGGGAACATCTCTCCTTGATTTCTCTGCACATGGGAGGTCCCACGTCTTACTTGCTACCCTCCTCTTATTATTGCCCGTGTAACTGTACCGCTACCATCTATACGAAGCAGATAGATCGACACCCTACTTAGAAATGACAATGAAATCGATATCGAATCATCAAATTCGGTGTCGATATCGATTTCATTGGCATTTCTCCCTGGAATGCAATCAAAAGCGTAATCCTTTATTCATAGTTTTCACGCATATTCTTCGCTCCAATAGAAATTCAAAATACCGGGTATATTTATTCTAATATCGAACAATAAAAATAGAGGAAAGTTGCCGATACTGACATAGGTCTCCTAAAGTGACACCCCCTTATTTCTCAGAAACTAACTATTGCACTTTATTAATATTAATAAAATCATGATCTCTGTTTAGCTAATTAAAGAAGTACAAACTCATAATTCATATATTTGTGGCTTATTTCTATATCAAATCAGCTAAAAACCAATTCTCTGAATCCGAGAAGAAAATTCTTACGAGGTCTGTTTTCTGTGGCTGAACTAGTGTACACTTTTGGAACTTGAAGTGAGATAGAAATACGTTTGATATTTATTTAAAGCGAGAAAGAGAGTTCTAGAACAATCTAGAGTCTAGAGGAACAGAAAACAGATCAACGGTGTTCTTTTGCAAATTGCGTAATTAAAATAATAGTGACTGTATTATTGATAATATTATGTCATTTTAAATGTTTATAGTTTCATAAATTAGTTTTCTTTACAGAATAGGATATATCTTTATTTATAGAATAGGAATGTTGGTATTATTGCCTACTATGTCAGTTTTTGAGCCCACTTTGTCAGACGCTCATTTTTATATAACTTGTGAAAAACTTAATTATTGCAAAATTGCAAACAGTATTATAAAAATTGCTTATATCTGATAGAAGACACTTTTTACTTTATATTTATGTTTTTGAAGTTGTATTTTTACCTTTTGTTTAAGAAATATTGTCTAAAAACAAAGTGGTATGTCGGTATCGGTGACCTTCCTCTACATAATGCAGAAATATTAGGATATGGAACAAAAATTCGTAGCACTATAAATTTCAAAATTCAAGTAGCCGTAACTTCGTTTAAAATGAACGAAATTTAAAAAAAAGATTTTGAAGCTACAAATTTTTACTTTCGATAGATCACTATGTCTTTTGAGTTTCTGTAAGTTTGGTAATTTTTAAATAAAAAAAATTACTCTAAAGAAAAAGCTAGATAAAATGAGAAATTTCTTTTTCATTTTATAAACTTGTCACGTGCCTAAAAAGACAAAAATTTTAGACTTTCTAACGTGAAATGTAAGATTACTTTAGAATTAGAAAAAGATAAATAGTAAATTAAATCAAGATTAAAGTTGATCTTACACGGTCTCTCGTAAAGTAGCCACTGTAGTGTCGTTGCGTGTGGCTTAGCGCCGTGAAACTATCAGTGTCTCTTGATATTTGTGGAACCGAGCTTAAATATTATTATTGTGTGGGTGTGTAAATACATATATACTAGTATTATAAATTTTATACCCAAACAAGTCTGAAGAAATCATCGATAATGGCGTAATTATCCGAGCAATTAATTTCGTGACTGTAGATATTTCTTATAAAGAAAATATGCGTAATATATTTTTTGTATCTACAAGAATAAATCGATCACTTCTTCAAAATCATCTTCAAGAAAGCTATCTGCGTCATAAAAAAAGTTATGTATACGCGATAATGCAATCTTACGATAACAGAAGAAATTATCTTTTTTCATGGATAAACTGTATGCTACTCAGCTATTTTCGTATACATAACACAATTCTTTCCATTTATCCTCAAGTCTGACATTTTATGAGAAAACAATAATTTTTCAACTTTCGAAATCACTGTTTTCCTTTACATTAATATCGGAAATTTTTAAGAATATTTATGTGAACAATTATAGCTTATACGTAGCATTCTTTGACAAAATGCTTGGTTCGTTCGCTACTCTGAAAAATTACAAAAGCGATAGGTAAAAGAATTTGCAGCATGCATCCCAGAATTTTGTATTCGCTCCAAGGCACGTTGCATAAAAGTATCAACGACGACCTGGTGATGGCAGGTACTTTTATTATTCATGTACATTCATTACTCGCTCTTCGTCCGGCCCGACTGTAAATATGCATTTTCTGATTCGGTGCATTATGCAGTATAAGGTGAAAGTTCTTTTACGAGCTTTCGCTCGAGGGGTCGCATTTTCAGCTGCCATTATGCAGCGTATAAATTTGCGATTACTGCGACGATTGTGTAACCCGATCTGTGAGTTTGATGTGATAAAAAGGAAGAGAAAGATACCGATTTGAAGGAATCGTTGCGGAAACATATAATAGAATATACGATCGTAAAGTCTTCATATGAACTGAGGAAACATAAAGCGCGACGTAAAAAGACGGTAAAATAAAATTACCTACAACATCCCTGAACATCCCGGAAAGACGTCATACAATAAATTGTACCTACGCAGAAGCACATAAATTTCGAATTACACTTAATACCTGAGTATTCATGAAGGTCTCACCTTGAATCCGTTCTTTGTTAGAATTCAGTGACCCCATCGTTACAGAACTTAGTTGTCAAATTAATTATCAAGGTGTTTAATGCCAGAGGTTAACGTTAAATGTCTTAATGCTCTCAAACATGATACACGTGTGTACATAATGTATACATTTCATCAAAAATTATTTAAATTTAATTTTAATCATGTCTATACATGTATTTATAACATGTATATAATTGAATATATCGTATACATCGAATTTTTATGATTTTTTATCATAAATGTTACTGTCTAGTAAATTAATTTTTTCAAAATATTATATAAAATTCAACAGAAAAAAGTGTCAGGATTGAAAGGGTTAAATCCATAAAATATTCGATCTTGCAATAAATTTGATTAGTTGCTTTAAGCAACGTATGGTTGATAAAATTAAAACATACTAAGCTTATCAGCGCTATTAGCCAACTACAATAATGTAATGGAATAGCTGATAGTATTTTCGCGGATAGTTGGTGTTCATGCAACAGTAAGATAGAATGTTCGTAAAACTGCAACCTAATCACGTTATTTAAAACAGAATAAAGTTCTGAGATGATTCATACATATGGTTTTAAAAATCTTCTTTTTCAAAAAATGTGTTTATTCGATTCAAATATATTTTCAAAGAACTGCTAACAAAATCTATGATGAGACTATTATAAATTCATAATTAACGCATAAAATAAAAACACGTTTTCTCATGAAATAATTATAACTTATTTTGATAATAAAGAATAAGTGATCTATTTATGAACAATCGATCCACCGGTAGAATGTTCACGTTCTTCTTTCCGTCAGTATTTCAAGGATTAATGCGACAATATTTGTCACGTTGAATAGGACGAGATGCTGAATTCGGAGAACGATCTTGGGCCAGACGTGATGCGCACCAAGAGAATCGGATCTCTGTCAATCGTGAATAATTTGGACGTGCTGAGGCAGAGAGTTCTGCTGGAGCTGGCTCGCAGAAAGGCATTACAAGATCAACGTCAGGTTGAAGAGAATCGTCGTTTCCTCGAGAGTGTCGGCAAGAGATCGGTATCGAACGCCGATAGAATCGTGAGATCTAGCATGAAAAATAACGGACGGTCCGCAGCATCCGACAGAAACGAATGGACCGAAGAGAACAATCCCTTGTTCCGCGAATCGCAAGACGACCGAACGGTAAGAAAATACATTTTCTTTTATCTTATGCGAGCTTTCTACAATAAGCCATTACTTAAACTTTAAGTCTTAAGCCTTAAAAAATTGAACAAATCAAGGCAATCATAGACGAGAAAATGTGAGAAGAATAATCGACAAGTGAGAGAGATGTGAGAAGAATAATCGATTATCGTTGGTCAATTTCTTACCTTAAGTAATGACTTATTGTAGAAAGCCTGTAAGAGATTTATTTCAGTAACATATATAATTCGTGTTAAATAATTTCGATTATGCAATTCATTCTTCGTTGCAATCGTAATTTTGAAAAAAATAAACATTTAATTAATCTTACGCAAACTGGATAAAGTTTTGTTGCATTAATTGGAATTCTGGTAGATTCAAGTAGAAAGGTATAAATTAGATAGACACAGTCAAATCTATCAAACATTTTAGTTGAGATAATTCAATCGATAATTATAATTCTGATTCCTGACTGGAATTCATTTTGCTTGTATTTTTTGTACAACATTTTTCTCAATACATCAATTTCCGCACTTGACTCTTATTTGCTTTCTTTATTAGCTATATTTTAATTGTTAGAAACTTTTATTTTACTTATTTAATTAAGATTGTACATTAATATATAATTTTGATTTTTCAGGTACAGGCTAATGAGCTTCGTCTGCTGTAATCGCACCTTGGCATGCGAAGAAGAACTTCAGAAGGACCGATATATCTTAGCTTTACTATATGCGATTTTTAATCAATCGTCATCTATTAAGTTATTTTGTCGACTGTCTTTCTTCCGCTTGCCTATCCTCATTTAGAATTCCGTCAGCCGTGGCTGGCAATATAAATGTTAAAAATTGCTGAATTTTACAATCGACAACAAATGCGGGCTTGCTGCTATCCCTCTCTTTCTCTTTAATGAATCGAGAAATGTTTCGCACAGTATTCACTCCCCTTTTCGGTTCTTCGTTAATTTTAGTGTGTTTATTTATTTTAGTTAGGTAATAAATCAATGTAACAACCCTGTGTCACGGAAGCTGGCAGAAATGGGAATCGAGATTGTGCATCGTTCGGAGATGCGATTGATTCAATGCACGACAGATTCGACTGGCGCGCATAACGTTCCAAAGATACGTACAAAGATCTGAGCTTTACGTAAAGCTTTACTTCCGTCTTCTTCCGCATTCAATCCTCTTCGGAGACGAAGAAAGGCGTAACGAAGCAGTATTATATATTGTGATCTCATTTAAGATATATCTTTTGCTTTTCGCAGAGAATACCCGACACCTGATCCTGTAGAGCGTGTATTTTAATTCTCGCGTCTCCACTGCGCTTTTATCGATATTCCTAGAGGATGATGTAACGAATACACGAGTCGGTTGCACTTACAATTTCACTCTCGCCAACTATAAATGTACAAATACCTTGTTGTATTGATAGTTATCGCTTCTCGCGTACACCGACGTCGATCGTCGGATGAGAGACACTCATATGTGTGTACCTGCAGTCTGCAATTCTGAAGGAAATCTATTTTCTGTATAGTATGCACTAAAGAGACTAATCCACAAATGTAAGGAAATTGAAAAAAACTTGTAAAAGGGTTCGGAGATCAGATATACTGTTAATATTGTATAAGAAAGACTATTATAATACACGATAAGATTTTCATTGATAAAAGTACAAGATTGTATCCCAAATATTATAATTTAGGAATAGTTTTACATCACTTACACCTTGTTTTTTTGCTCTTAATATTAATGTTGATTACTGAGATAATTGTTTCGTATCAACTTGTAGTTTTATATATATATTTATTCTTGTGCCATTATAGAAGTACAAAAACAGCGATTATCAATTGTCTGAAAATAAAATGTCTAATAGAACGCATAAGATTGAAAGTTTCGCGGAGCATGCGATAAATAAAACGTGTATGCATTATTAAAATAATTATTTAATATTCATTTGACCAGAAGAATATTTCCACTTATAATTGCCTTAAAGCGTTTATTATTAATTGTAGTTTGAGAAAATATAGGAAATCGGAGAACTTAGTTCAATATTTCTATACATATGTAAGTATTTTAATATATTCACTCATTGTTTTTCAAGGACGGATTACATCACATAAAACTCGGAGTCATCAACAGTAAAAAGTATTTTGAGAAAAGTACATAACATGCGATATCACATATACATTTCAGAATCCTTTTTATTGTTGAAGACTTTAAGTTTCATATACTTAACTAAAAAATAAATATATTAAAATACGTATATGTGTAAGTTGCATAGATTTTGTGTAGTCATAGAGATAATTATTTATCTAAAAAAATGTATAATATATAATCAAAATAAATAAATCAAAAATATATGAAACAAAATATAATTTTCCGGCGTATGGATCGCTTGCTATTATTTCGTAATCACGATTTTAAGATGGTAGAAACTGACAACATTCAGTTATATAATTAGTAATAATATAACAAATCTCGTTTAAAGTCAACAATAGACATATTTTCCTATATTTTTACGCATTATAAAAAATATGTTATGATGAATGAGAAATACCAATATCATTTTTTAAATCATAATCACAGTCTTTCTTTAAAAAAAGTTTATTTCTTTTATTCATCGTCAATGTTTACATATTATTTAATACTATCACAGTTACAACTCTAATTGTGTGTGATTATAATTACAACTGTATAGATAGTACATTCCAGTCACTTTTAAGAAATAAAGATAGCAATTCTCATATCTTTATAAATATAATTTGTCACATATGCTGTACAGTGTTTGTGTCACGATCAAAAATACTGTTAATGTACAGTTTCTTTCATGCATCTTTTGTAATGAAATATTAGTGGAAAGTATATAAAAAATATTTTTCGAACTGAAAGTTTTCAATAATTTTAATAAATGTAACCTATAATTTTTTAAGAATTTTTTGTGCTTGTAAAATTTACGTACAAGTAACATATAAATCATGTATAAATAACATAAATGTATTTAAGGGAAAATTAGAGTAACATAAATGTTCATGGGGAATGATTAAAAATCGAATATTTTAGAAAAGCTTGTTTATAGAACTCTGTTTAATCTTAATTAAGACCTAAATTATCAATATTATTGTGATAAATTTATTAAAAATTAAAAGAACATAAATAAATACTTCTTTAAAGAAAATATGAAATACATATTTTGAAGAAATATAGCAAAATTTTGCAAATAATTCCACTATTTATCTTTATATATGTATTGTCATGTATGAAAATTCTTCTGTTCCAAATTTTAATTATCTTATTATAATAAAAAAAATGAAAAGTTGAACATACAATATACTTTGTACGTTCAACCTAATTAAGGCAGAGTTATAACAAAACTGTCTGAATCAGGAATAAGACTTTCTAGGATGTAATTATAATTATAATTTACGAAGATCGAGAACAAATACACTGCCATCAGATGCAGATGCACCAACTTTGTCACCGCGACTATTCCAGCAGACTTCAAAGATACCGCCTGTACCTTTGTAACTGTGTACCAACTGTCCGCTCTGCTCGAATTAAGAGAAAATAATCAATTTAATTTCAACCAGCATTATTTTATAGGAATAAAAAAAAATTATGAACTACGATACTTACTTGTGTAGACCATATATGAACGCATTTATCGAAACTACCACTAGCAAGAAACTTTCCATCTGGACTGAATGCTACACTGTAGACAGGTTCAGTGTGTTTGGTAAGCGTGTGTATGCAAACTCCTCTTTCCACATCCCACAATCTAACGGTGGAGTCAAACGATGCACTCGCCAATGTTAGATTCATATTTGGATTGTGCGTTCCTGGGCCAGTTGGTGACCATTTAATCGTGTAGATTTCTTTACTATGGGCTTGCAGATCATGTACCCAAGTATCCTGTTTCATAGACCAAATTTTCAGACTCATATCGTCTGAACAACTGGCCAATAGGTTTCCTTGCGGGTCCCATTTAATTGCATTGACTTCGTTCTGCAAAACATACAAGAAAAATGAGAAAAAAAATAAAAGAAAATGTTTAATTAAATCATGGTGATTTTCTTGCATCACATATACGCACTGTATGTCCCTGAAAGCTCTTAATGGGCTTATCGACGTTAAGTTTGCACACATGTATACACTGATCTGTAGAACAGCTTGCAAATGACGTGTTTGTTTGCCAATCGACATCCAAAGCAGGTGCACAATGAAAACTGAACTGTTGTGTACATTGTCCGCTTTCGGCATCCCAAATAATCGTCGTCTTATCGACGCCAGCACTCAGAATATAATTGCCGCGTTTGTTCCATTTTAGTGCGAAAATCGGACCTTTGTGCTGGCCCAAAGTAGATGCCAGACGACCATCTGTTGTCCAGATTCGTGCATATCCGTCATAACTTCCTGTCGCAAGTAATGTACCGTCGCACTGTAAAAATTTGAAATGCATGTTTATATCGTTTTAAAAAATAAATAAAAAGGTATCATAAAACGAGATAGCTTTGGTCCAAATTTTGATCATATCCAAATAGTACGCATATCAAAATCAAAATATAACGTCTTAAAAATGTCTTAGACATTTTTCTTTATTTTTGGATACGTGCGCTGTCTAGGCATTTCTTAAAATTTGGACCACAGTTATCCCAACTGGATCAAAATTATTTTATTTTACAATATCTAGTTTGTACCTTCCAATCCAACGATGTAACATCTTTATTGCTGGGTACTTCAGTACCACCTTTTTGGATACAGTGACGTAGAACCAGCTGATTGGGAGCTTGCGAGTTGTCCGACATATCCCAAATCCGAGCGGTACTATCACCTGAACCAGACGCTAATAAATCAGTTGTTGGATTCCAGGCACAAATAAACACCTCCGATTCATGACCGCGTAATTTAGTGGCTTTACTAGCAGGGATTTCGACGGTACTAGCATTGGAGCCTGCATTTGCACCTGTTGTTGGTTCATCCACCTCCATCTCTGTTCCCCGATCTCCACCTCGATCATTATTATTTACACCTTCATTAGATGTAACAACTGAGAAAAGAAACGTACGTTCATTTGATTAATTTACAAGGATTTCTTACAACAGTTTTGAAAAAATAAAATAAATTACTCTTCCCAATAATTATTCTAAAAATAGAAATAATAATGAAAAGACATCTACTGTTAAATCATGAGTTACGTTAATTTATATTTATTATTATTGTTTGACAATAATACTTTACATATATTTCTACTTATTATTTAATTAGTTCGTTTAAGTTGTTTGCCACTAGTTGACAGTCAGATTGACGTGATGAGTTATATGCTGTCTCTTCTGGCTGCATCCAATGATAGCAAATATGATTCCTTCATAGAAGAATCATATTTTTATCGTTATGTCTGACAGAAATGACAAGCTGTAGCTCGCAAAATGACCGAAATCTATGGCCGTTCTATTTTAATCTACCTGACTTTTAAGGAGGTCTGAAAATTATTTTCTTCTCCAGACCAGGGTGTATCAGGCTCCCAATAATACTTATTATTTCCTATGTAATCTTAATTGCTAGTATAATAATTTTAACTGTATCAGATTAGAGATTGAAATTGGATTTGAATTTAATCAATCAGAAGAAAGAAAATCAATATCAAGTTTAATAAATTTTGCTCTGATTGATTAAATTTTAATTCAATCTCCTATCTGATACAAATAGTCCCATTTTCATAATATATATTTACCTAAAAATTAAAGATTGCCAAGAAAATCATCAATGAAATTTATTTATGAATTTCTTGGTAACCTTTAAACTTTAGGTAACCATATGTTGTGAAAACAAGTCATACATGTAAAAAATTCAAAAACACAAGTCTTTGACCGTTATGTAACTATTTATACCACGTATATTACCTTCTTCGCCATTGGTATCTTGACCTTCAGTCTTCACCTGCTGTTTCTGTTGATTGATCTGATTCTGCCGTGTGGCAACAATATCTGGCATAACTGCATCTATGAGCGACAAAGATTCCACCATTCTGTGTTCGGTGCCATCTTCGCCAATCATAATCTCTGCTTCTGTGTATTGTAATCCCTTTTGAATTATGGACAAGAGTGCTGCTGGTGGTACAAGGGCTCCATTGATATTACTCTGTGATATGTGGGACTCAATTCCAAACGTGTACGCAGAATGTTGGAAACCTGTAGAAAACAAAGATGCATAAATAAGATCACAAAAATGAAACAGAGTAAGTTGCTTGGACAGTGATGAATTTAGGTAAACTTAGATGTATTTTAAATCTAGGATGATAAGTTGATAAACAACTTTTATGGCAACAAGTCATGTTGATAGATAAATTTCAGGAATTATTTGACTGGGTAACTCAATTTCAGCTACACTTAAATCACCAGCCTTGTCACAAGGATAATCATGTCTGTTTATATCAATATAGAGAAACTTTACTTTAATCTCAATTCAACTTACTTTTCATCTTTTCTGATTCTAAAAATTAGAAAAGGATAGAATTAAATCGATATTAAATATACACAGTACACTTTCTGAGATATTTTGGAAATGTTCTTGGGACATTTAGACTAATTCTACAATGTGCTTTTTGTTTCCTGTTTCTTGCTGTTTGTCTCTTGTCTTTTTAATCA